TGCAGATTCCTGAAAAATGTTTGGTACCACTTCAGATATTTTTCTACGCTTAGATATTTCTGAAGTCATTCTAGTAAATTAAATAAAGTAGTTATCAATTCTTATCTAACTTCTTTAACAAAAACTATAAACATAAACAGAATAATAGACACAGTACAAATAAACAAAAAGAATGTTTTTTAAGTTATGACTACTATTGATACTTAAATAAAAAATTCAAGACAATAAAAAATACAAAATAATAGAAATGCAAACACAAAAAGAAAGTAATTTCTTTAAAATATTATATATATATATATATATATATATATATATATATATATACAATATATATATATATATATATATATATATATATATATATATATTATACTATATATATATATATATATATTTATATATATATATTATATATATATATATATAATATACATATATATATATATATATATATATATATATATATATAATATATATAATATATATATATATATAAATACATTGTATAAATATATATATATATATATATATATTTATATATATATATATATATATATATATATATATATATATATATATATATATATATATATATATATATATATATATATATATAATATATATATATATATATATATATATATATATATATATATATATATATATATATATATATATATATATATATATATATATATATATATATATTATATATATATATATATATATATATATATATATATATATATATATATATATATATATATATATATATATATATATAGTTAGTTAGTTATTTAAAGTTAAATTACACGGAGCGGGCGTGTTCCGTAAGCCCATTAACAGCTAGCCGTGCTAGCTCGTGCGAAATTGCACGGAAGATGATGCGCTGTAGTAATTATTAAAGCTGATCGAATTTTGCTTTGAAGCGATCGACACTGGTAGCACTGACTACTACGTTAGGTTATGCGTTCCATGGGTGAGCGACGCAGTTGTTGAAGGAATTATAGCGAACGAGGCAGTTGTTGTCCATTTCACGATGAAAACGCTTGCGATGACCGTAGCTAGGTGGGATGTTAGGTGGATCTATATGCCAGCTAATTGAGTCGATACTGTTTTCGAATTTATATTTTTGAATGAGGTTGCCGCGTAAACGTCTGTTTAATAGAGAGGTGAGTCCGAGTTTGATGCATCTTGTCTCGTAATCGAAGCGCTTTATTTCGTGCGGTACTTTAGTAACCCGGTGCTGAACACGTTCTATGACATTTATGTCTTTTTCAAGATGCGGGCACCATACAGTAACTCTAAACTCGATATGTGGGCGTATATAAGTGGTCTAAAGTTTTTTCCATATATGGTATTTCTGCTTATAAACGTGTTTTTCAATGTCCCGAGGACTTTATTAGCCTTGGCAGCGGCTATTTGTGCTTGCCTCTCTTATTTTAAGTCGTTGGAAATTTGAACGTCTAGATCTTTTTCGGATGTTGAAGACTCAATTACTGTTCTAGTGACGCTACCGTTAGCGTCGTACTCGTTCATTAAATAATTGTGTGGGGAAACATAGTACTTACTGAAATGCATGACATTGCATTTCTTGATGTTGAGTTCCATTAACCAGGTTCGAGTCCAGGTAACAACGCTTTCTATATCGGATTGCAGACGAGCTTTGTCTTCAGTGGTTTTGACGACACTCAGGATTTTAGTACAGTCTGCATACATTTTACATAAGTTTTCGCTATTGATGTGTTCGGGTAAGTTTACCCAGGTGGATGACGTATTACCTAATATGACACGCTGTGATCTATTTGAAAGGAAAGCTTTTATCCAGTTAAGAACGTTACCTTCGATTCCGTAGGATTCAAGTTTTTGAAGTAATCTTCTGTGAGGGACTTTATCGAAGGCTTTGGCGAAGTCAAGAAAAAGAACATCTACAGGAAGCTTGCGAGAAACGTTGTAGGTCAGAAAGTCCATGGCCTCAAGCAGATTCGTGACGCAGATTTTTTATTGACGAAGCCGTGCTGGCAATCGGCAATAAGTTTATGAGCTACAAGGTGCTGCATGATCTTTTCTTTAACAACTTTTTCCATTATTTTGCATGGTACTGAGGTGATGGAGATAGGCCTATAGTTTTCTGGGTCGAGTCTGGAGCCTTTTTTGAACAGTGGCGTAACGTTTGCCGAGAACCACGCTTTTGGGACTACACCTTGATCCATCGATTTCTGAAAAATGATGGCGAGTGGGGTAGCCACCGCATCAGCGCATGTTTTAATCACAAATGGACTGATACCGTCACCTCCAGTTGATTTATTGGCGTTGAGAGCAGATAGGTGTTTGTGAACGGAATCATAGCTGAAGTTGACGGAGGAGATTAAGGCGGTTGTACGTTTAACAAAGGGAGGTAGTTGTTGATCTGATGGTTCGATTATCAATACTGACTGGAACTGGTTGTTAAGTATATTGGCTATGGATGCGTGGTCGCTACTTATTTCCCCAGCGGGTG